GATTGTCACTCCTGTTACATTTTGAGTGGGAAAGCCCACATTCAGTGAGCCTCCTTCTGGGCTGGGGTCGCTGACAGGCTTTGTCTGAAGTTCCTTTGCTCTGTGGGATTGCTGTTTAGCTGAGCTGACATGCTACACGGGCAGACTTTCCTCCATTCGAGGGAGAAGAGAAGGTGGCACTCTGAAAGATCTGCCTTGTCTGTTTCTCAGTCCCAGTGGTCCTCTGGTACTGGGGGAATCGTGCCCTCTTAGGCAACTCACCTCCTGATTCCATTGTAGGGAAGTGTCTATGGGAGGGGTAGTCACCCCTGACTGGGCTCCCAGGGAGGTCTGCCTTATTCCTATCAAAACCCACCTCGTTGGCTATGCTTCCCAGTACAAAGCAGCCTCAGTCAGCTGCCCCCAGTGTCACCTCTAAGAGGGAGCACACAGACCCAAACCTTTGCCTGAGGAAGTCTGTCCTTTTCCTTCCAGGGTGACAAGGAGGCAGGTAGAGTGCTGACTATTGGAGCAGACTCCTGGGGCTGGGGCTTTCTGTAGCCATTTGTAACAAGTCTTTTACCAGCAATTGCCAGGTGCCCTGCGGGAGAGGATGTCACCTGCTGCGATCCTCAGGGAGTTCTGCCTCTTTGCGGTTAGAATCCTCTTGGTAGATAGCTGGCTGCGAGTGCAGCTTCTACTCCTACTGTGTTTCCCGACACACAGGCGCTTTATTAGGTAGTCTTCAGCGCCAGCTGGAAGTGGGGGGCAGACTAACCCAACTGACCATGAGGGAGGTAGGCCTGTGTTCACTGTTGGAGCTGTCTCCACAGCATGGGTCTTCTATAGCCATTCACAGTAGACGTGCAAAGAACAGGGTCTGGGCTGGGGGGGAGTCCTGGCACACTGCAAGTGGCCTTCTGGAAATATCTGCCTTGTTAATTTCAAGGTACTCCCTTGTGGGGAGAGGCCAAATGCTTACAGGCATCCTCCCTGAGGGCGATCAGTTGTCAAACTGCAGTGGGTCCCTCTCCCTGCTGCTGGGGACAATGGATTACTTCTCCCTAAGCCTTGCGACCATTAGCTTGGTTCCTGTAGGTGGGGTTTGCACCCTACTGATAATGGTTCCTTTGGAGAGCCAGCTGCCATCCTGACTCTAGGATCTGCCCATCTTGTCACATGTATACCCCCAATCCCTCCACTTCCTATTGCGTGTATGTCCCATAGTGAAACCCCTTCCTGTGACATATGACTTTACCTGTAATTAGTGGGGTTGCACGCCCCCAAAAGGCAATAGGGGCCTCCCTCTCCCTCCCTCACCTCTCCTCGGCTCCCTCTCCTCCCCTGTTTCCCTTTCCCCTTGTCCTCCTTCCCTTTACCATCTCTTCACGTGGACCATCAAGCGGGGCTGAGGTGAGCAATGCTACTATGAAATGTGTCTGACTCCATTATTGGAATATCTCTTTTATCTCTCATGCTCTCAATGACTTTAATATAATACTTATATATATCAACTGTACAATTGTGCTTACTGAACCAGAGACTAGCGGTGGGGGGCTGCCCCCCCCCCAGCATCTTACCACACCCACTGCTCACTCCACTAGGCATCAAACAGCTCCTACAGTCTGATGGGCCCACTTTCTCCCTGAACCAGCATCAATTTCAGCTTCTTTTCCTCCCTGCCTGGAAAGCAGGATCCTATCCTGGACCTTCTATTCTGGCACACGGAGTAGTGTTACTTTTATATGCCCACTTGGCTAGACCATGGCGCCGAGTTTGGCTAAACACTGGTCTAGATGCCACTGTAAAGTAGTTAAAAGTACATCATTTTAAGTGAAGCAGATTACCGTGCATAGTGTGATGGGTCTTATCCAATCAGCTGAAAGCCGTGAGACTGAAAAGAGAAATTCCTTAGGGTGTATTCTGCCTTCAGGCTATAAATAAACTTCTTGCCACAACCCCTCACTCTTCATTCTTGCCACTAACTTCTGATTTGAGGGCAAAGACTGTATGGATCTGCAGCCAACTGCCTGACCTCCAGATTTGGGACTTGCTTGCCCTCAGCCACTAACAACATAACAATATAAGAGAGATTGCGATTCATTTGTTTTTAGTTGGCTCAAACAATTGCTAGGGGCTGGTTTCCAGAAGGGGTTAGGGAAGGCGTGGCTCTGCGGAGGAACCAGGCGAATGTTTCTTTGGGTAACAGTTCTATACCCTGATTGTGGCTATACAAAGTGTATGCTGTTATTTTCAGTTGCCATTGTCTGCTCCCCAACACCTAAGGCCCTAATGAAACACCTGAGTCTAATAATGAAGCAGTGATTGCCTCGTCTGGTGCCATCTTCACAACCACTGGTATGTTTGCGTCCGCTGTGGTGGCTAAGATGTCGATCCATCTCATTGCCGGTTTCTTTTACTTTCACTGATCCTCTCTTTTACCAAACGTGATGCACTTTTCTAGTGAGTGGTCTTTCCTGATGTTGTGTCTACAGTAAGCAAGACAAGATCTTTCCATCATCATTTATAAGAAAGTCTCAAAAACCATCAGGTCGATGCCAACGCACAGAGACTCTATAGGACTGCCCTTGTGAGGCTCCGAGACTGGACTTCTTTATGGGGTAGAAAGCCCCGTCTTTTTTCAGCCATAAAGTGGCTGGGGTTTGGAACTGCTGACCTTGGAGTTAGCAGCCTAATGTATAACCACTGTGCCACCAGGGCTCCTGAGAACATTCTATTCCTGTATAAAATTTTCATGGTAAAATTTTTCACAACTATGAAAAAAAAATGGAGTGCATAAAAAAACTGGCGAAATCTGAATAAGGGCTATAGTTTTGATAGAGTATGTGAATGTTCATTTTATGATTTTAATAGTTATATTGAGGTTATATAAGATATTATCATCGGAGGAGTTGCATGAATAATACATTGAAACTTTTGTAACATTATTTTAAACTGTTTATTATGAATTGGGTGAAGGTTTACAGAACATATCAGTTTTCCATTCAATATTTTGTTTCATCTCATTGATTTCATCTTTATATTATTTTTTTGCAAGTTCTGTTGAGTAGAAAGTTATTTCAACACGTTAAAAAAAACTGATTTAAGAGACAAATCAAAGTTGTAAGGTATGGAACGTGTTTGGATCCTGATTTGAACCAATCAATTCTTTTTAAAAAATGAGATAATTGGGTGAATTTGAATGTTGATTGGATATTTAATAATATGAAGGAATTATAGTTAACTATCTCAGGAATATTTTTAAAGTATTATGTTTTGTAGATAGAAACAAATATTCATGAAATTGTGTGGTCTTTGGGACTTAGAGGGAAATGGGTGGACCTATGTTGAAGATTTTTGAAGTTGGATGATGCATATATTGGATTCATTGAACGATTGGCTCTGCTTTCATATAGGTTTGAAAACTTCAACAATAAAAATGTGTAATAAAAGAAACACACAAAAGGCTTATTTTGGAGCTTTTACAGAGATTCTGTTTCAGTATCTCTGGGCTGGATCCAAGAATCTTCTCCTTAGTTACAGTCACACTAACTTTGAGAACCTTTTTTTCTGTAAGGGCATGTTTCTCTGCATCATTTGTGGGGTGGGGTGAAGTGGGGATGTCTCTCAGAGGGCTGGGATGATAACATCTGTGGAAGTTACATAATCTGTCAACTTGTGAAGGGGTGGAGTCTAGCCTGTCAATCAGGTCATAGCCAATGAGGCCTCTGTGGGGGCATGACCTCTTCCAGAGGATTCAGGGAACTCCGGTTTTCCTCTCTGGAGGTGGGACACACACACTTTCTGCTACCCATTCCTACTGACAAGCTACATGGAGCTACACTGATGGAGCCAGAGCCCTGGAACTGGAGGAGCCACGTGGAGACCCACACCAGTGCTGAGATGCTTCCACCACCACTGGATCCACCAGACTTTCCACCCACTGGCCTGTATCTTCCTGCATTCGTTGCATGTGTTGCGTGAGTCTGGAGAAGAATTTATAAGCTGGTAATGGACATGTGAGCTAATATCGGACTTATGGACTTGATCTGGTCTGGGCTGGGATGTTTTCTTAATGTACAATTGCTCTTTGATATAACGTTCTCTCTTATACATATATGAGTGTTCCTGGATTTATTTCTCTAGTCAACCTGGACTAACACACCATCTAATAATGGCAAACTATTATAGTTTAACATGCAGGAGAGACAGCACAGAGGAATGGAAAGAGCACATGCATTTCTATCAGCCCTTCATACCTGAGGGCCCGCTGACTAGGTGCCCATCCTGCCCTTGCTGTGTTGGTGGTGACAAAGGCTGCAGTCTTCTGAGCAAGACTTGCGGCCCCAGAAGACCATTAGCCAGCAGTGAGCTAGGGAAAGGAGGTTCTCAGAGTGTTGCCTGCTTTTTCAGCCAATTGAAACGAACTGGACACTGAGTGCAAGAGTTTGTTTTGCCCATGCAGACAAGGGGCAGCATGGACTCCTGAATTGGGGGCATCTGGGTCTTTTAACCCTATAGCGTTCACTTTGAACTGTTGACTTCGTTCTGCCCCTCCCTCCTCTAGCCACCCTGTGTCCATCAATGGCTGCCAAGTAATGGCTCCTTGATGTTCTCTAGATGCACCTCTCGCTTCTCACATGGGCCTGCGGAAGAGGGTTAGGCAGGTAACGTTCTTGCCCCGGGATTTTTGGGTCCGGGCGCAGTTGTTAGACACTGCCGTATGGACTGTGCATCCCCTCGTGGGGAGCGCCCTGGGGTGCTTCTTTGCTGAAGGGTTTTGAGATGGAGTTCTGAAGACCAAGAGGTGCAAGATGGAAGAAGTGGATAATAGAAGGGTGGGTAACAGAAGAATATTCGAGCAAGGAGTCAGAGGAACAGGGATGTTGGCTTAGGGCGTCAAGAGGGGACGGTACCTTGGTCATCACTTACACTAACCTCCTCAAAGCCTGGGGAAACTGAGGCACAAGAAGAGGAAGAGATCACCTCAGGGATAAATAATGAAAATAAACACCACTTACTGAACAGAAGATGTGCCTGGGCTTGAGGTGCATTTTTTTCTCTCTCAAAACTTTCCTCTCATTTACCCTACAGGGAGGGAAAGAAAAGGAAGAGAGGATCATTCCGCCAAAGGGGAGCGAGCGTCGGAAATGCTGGGATATCGCCCCTAACTCTGCCCTGCGGTGAGACACCCTGGGCACCCTCTCAGGGAGGAGAGAAAATCAAGACGCAGCAATGCAGGCAGAGGGTGGGCCCGTGTGGGGGCGGAAGCTCACAGCAAATACAGGTGGTCATTTCGAACTGTTCCCCAGCTTGTCGCAGGACTGGAGCAAGAGGACGCGTTAGGGGCTTTTTCAAGCAGCCGCTGCGGAAGCTCACGTTTGCTTAAGGCTCATGGGTTATGCCTTGGGCAGTTAACTGCACAGTCAACAGTTCAAAACCAGCAGATGAAGCGGGCTACTCTCGCCAAGAGCTGCAGTCTTGGGACACACAGGCGCAGCTCTGTCTTGTACGATGAGGTCACTAGGAGTCAGAGTGGACTCGGGACCTCCTGGCCTGGGCTTTGCTCTTCTCTTCCAGAAGTTACGACAGCTGTCTGGAGCCAGACTTCCTCAGCGGGAGCCCTTAGCACAAACAGTACTGAGAAGCAGTTTTTTCTCCTGCAATCCAGATTCCCGGGATCCAAGGAGTTGGGGGACCTACCCGAGTCATTAATTACCCTTACATGTCTTTTTGAACTTTGGGGAAAATGGCCTCCTAAAAATCACCTTCCAAACATTGGTCAAAATAAACCAGTTTGTCTTAGGCAGGGGGCTCTTAGAAATCCATTTGCAGTCAAAGTTGAGGGACAGCAGCTTCAAGGTCAGGCTAACCCAAACTCCAAAGTCGCTGCCATCTAGTGGACACCGACTCACAGCCGCCCCCTCCCAGGACCACTACTCCAAGACCAGAACGGAAGCTTTGTTTTCGGGTGAATTGCTCCACTTCCAGGGCAGTGCCCTTAAGTCAGGGGCGGGGCGTGATTGTTCCGCATTGGGCTGCAATCTGCAAGATCAGCAGTTCGAACCACCAGCTTGCTGCGGGGGAGAACGTTTTAGCTCTCTACTCCTACAAAGAGACTCGGAACCCCCGGGGCAGTTCCGCTTTGTCCTACCGGGTCAGAATGGACTTGATGGCACTGGGGTTCTTGGAGCAGCTCTCGTCTTCAGAACATTTTGGGCCCGTTAGTTGAAATATTACCCCATTGGCACATCATATAGTGGTTGCGCATGGGGCTGCGATTCAAATGGTCCCCAGTTTGAAACCATCAGCAGCTCCGAAGGAGCAAACCTGAGCTTTCTACTCCTGTAAACGGTGACAGTCTCGGAAACAGTCTCGGGTCAGCGCGGTGGTGGTGAGTTGAGAGTTCGGAAAAGACCTTCCTCTCATGGGACCTTGTAGCAGTAACTAACATTCTCACTCACTCACTGCGTCGTGGAGTCAATACTGATTCTTAGCGGCCCGACAGCACAGAGTAGCACTGCCCCTGTGAGTTTTCCCGACAGCAACTGTTTATGGGAGTAGAAAGTCCCATCTTTCGCCCAAGGAGCTGCTGGTGGAGTCGAACTGCTGCCTTTGCACTTCACAGCCCAACTTGTAACCCCTGAGGCACCCAGGTTTCCTAGGACTAACATTAGTAAGGACTTCTCTGGTTTCCCAAATGCTTTCAAAAGTGACTCTGGTCATTCTTGGATTGTGGAACAACCTGGGGAATGGGTATTGGTTCCAACAGGTGAAATGACCAAGAGGAACAGCTTGAACATGGAAGAGCCAGCACTCCAACCCAGCCTTCACTCCAGTCTCAGGGCCTGTCCTCCTGCCACAAGACCTGGGTCTCTTTAAGAGCTACCTCATATGACCCACCAGGTGGTTAGGGAAAGGAGAATAAACAGTCTGTTTGAGAGGGGAATCGCCAATTTTCTAAAAATGTTTTGCCTGGACAGTCAATAATGATGAAGACATTAGTCCCTGGATCTATGTGCAGGAAGTACAGGCATCCTATTCAGGGCTACTCAGTCGCTTGACCCTATCTAAGATTTCTCCTGCACTCTTGATTGCTGTATTGTTAGCTGTCGATGTGTCGATCTCCAACTCACAGAGTAGAACTTCCCCAGAGTTTCTGGGCTGTAATCTTTCCACATTCAGCAGGCCTTTTGTTCTGTGGAGCTGCTGGGTGGGTGTGAACTGCCAGACTTCCAGTCGGCAGCCAATTACAATCACTTCTGTTTCCCTGGGGCGGGGGTGGGGTGGGGGGGGCAGTCCATAGCTTACATTCCATAGATAGCACTTCGGAGAGAAAGCCATTCAATGTGAGCCAAGGATGGCAAAGGAGGAGAGAAAAAGAGACCAAGCACCTCAAGGATAGGGCTTCTGGAAACAAAGGCATCTCCGGGGGTCATTTTGGTGTCTAGAGAAGAGGATTCTCTGCCTCTGGGAAGAAGGGAGCTGGTAGACCACCACGGAGAGATCCAAAGTTGCCCTGACCTTGACTGCGACTCTTCCCGGGCAGGAACTGCTCAGAGGACATAGTGCTGGCTATGAGACAACATGAGAAGGGTGAGCAAGTTACAACCAATCAACCCCAGCTCCAATGGAGTGAGTCGACCAACTGCGCTGCGGCTGAGTTCCCATCGACCCCCCCTCCTCACTGCCAGCCCGCCCTCCACCCCCCAGATCACCCCCACAGAGTGCTCACCACAGGCGAAAACAAGTGCGCACAGGACAGATGGAGAACTTCAGCCTGCACAGGCCGCTCACAATTCTCCAGGCAGCTGCGGGGGCCAGGCACAGATCATCCGGAGGAACAAACAATCCAGCATTTGGCTCCGGGGACCATGAGTTTGGGGAATGTTCACTTCTCAAAATCAAACAAGGAAGTCTTCCCAGAATCCAGGAGGGCTGGGAAGGGCTGTGCTTTCTTCTTTTGGCCCACAGAGGGCCCCACCCAAAACAAGCTAGGAATTTCGTAATATCATCCGAGAAGACTCGTCTAGAGTCAGGAAACAATTAAAGAAAGAAAACGAACTGTTGCCATTGAGTAATTCTGACTCAAGGCTGTGGCCTGCACGTGTTAGAGTAGAACTATGCTCCACGGGGCTGCTTGTCCTGCAATTGTTAACAGAAGCAGATGGCCAGGCCTTCCTTCTGCGGTGCTGTTGAGTAGAGTCACACTGCCAACTTCTAAGTGAGGCAGGCAGTCCCTCGATCTCAGTCCCTGAGACCTGTTCCTGTGTCTTTTGGGAAATGTGTAGGTGAGTCAAAACAGGTGCATACAGTTCTTATTTAGCCTTTCCACGTTAATAAGGGAAGGTGATCGTGGTACAGAATTTGTTGTGAGGGGCTGGTCTGTGAACCCGTTTGGTTGTGATCCCAAACGTCAGCAGTTCAAAATCACCAGCGGCTCCACAGGAGAAAGATGGGGCTTTCTACTCCTATAAACAGTCTTACAGTCTTGGAAACTCCCAGGGTCAGCTCTACCTTGCCCTAGCCTAGAGGGTCACTATGAGTCGGTGTCTACTGGACCGCAGTGAGTTTGGTTTTTGAGAAGGGCAAGTTTCCCTAAGGGCAAATAGGAATTGTCCTTAACCCGGGACTGCCTATAGTTGAGCATAAAATAATCCGTGCTCCTTGGGGGCCCAAACAATCACCGGTATCTTCTGGTGGGATTGCCTGGGACCAATGTGCAAAGAGAAGTCGGAGCAATAACAAAAAAGAATGTGGCCGCTAATATTATGTGACCTTGGGGAGGTCACTTTAGCTTGTTTGGGGACTTTTCCTCAGTTGCAAAATCAAAATAAAACCAGTAATTTACTGCAGGGATTCCAAACCCAGGGCAAGCTTCAGAATTACCTGGAGAGATTTTTCTGTTTTTTAAATAGTTTTTCAGACTTCATCCGGGTCCAACAGAATCCTTGTCTCAGTGGTAGGGTCGCAGAATGAACAATTTGGCCATCTTAGGTATTTATGGTGACTATTGGTGTTGGTCTATTTAAGCTTAAAATTGTTGTCTCTAAAGAGCCAATGAGGAATGAACTATGTTGAGGTCTGTAATGAGGACCGACTTTCTTTCAGCTAAAACAAAACAAAAACAAAACTCAAGCCACTGCCATTGAGTGGATGTTGGGAGTGCAGACCTTGCAGTTAGGGGCCCAATGCATTACCTCTATGCCACTAAAGCTCCTTTCTCCTGGTTAAGGTGCCCACAAACTATCAGGTGAGTGTTACACCTTGTCTCAGACCCAGCTGTCAGCTCCTCAGATCCCTGAGTTGTGGGCACGGGGATCCGCCACTGGTGACCGAGGAGAGAAATGGTGCGCAGTCCAGATGTATGATCGAGTCTGGGCTCAACCCAGCCTTCCCCTCCTCACTCCCATCTCTAGCTTGTGAAACCAGTCTTGAGACTTCCACACTGCTAACCCCTAACCCAGTGGTTCTCAACCTGCGGGTCGCGACCCCTTTGGGGGTTGAATGACC